ACCATCCCGCTGGAATGGTATCGGATCCTCAAGAGCTGTCTCTTATACACATCTAGATGTGTATAAGAGACAGCCAGAACATCATTACCTGAGAGCTTGACAAATTCCTTTTTTTTTTCTGGGGGGGGGAGGAGGGGGGGTGAAAGAGAACTTGAAGAGTTTTTTTTTTTTTTTTTTTTTTTTTTTTTTGGAAAGACATTTTGAGGACAACTTTTTATTTTTTTCCGGAAAGAAAACTCGAGAACAATTTTCAACACAGCAATTTAATTGACAAGAGAGGAGGGAAATAATGCAGAAAATTCAAAATAGGTTTTGAGTCTTTCGACTTAGAATTTATATGGTACCCTCGAAGGGTCAGCTGCCTCTTCCTCTTGCAGCAGCACGTAGGGGTCAACGTACTTGGGCGGCCCTACTCCCTTCCTCCCACTATGTACAAACTCCGATCCCCAAAACTGCAAGTGCAAGAAATCCACCCACAACACAATCAAACACACAATTCCACCCCAAATGTACTGTGAGTCCTACTGACTATTTCATTTGCCTATTCTTTCCTCTGTAGTAGTTTTAACTTTATACTAGTTTATAGTAACTTTATGCCCTTCCTTGTTTTTTTCCTTGTTTTTGTTTTTATTTTTCTAGTTTTTTTAAACCAAATGTTTATTATGCTGGGAACCGGGCCCAGCGTCCCTCACAAAGTTGCCACAGTTTTCGACAGTACTGTCTTCCCCCGAACACAACGCACCCTCATTTTGGCTGCACCTGACCGGAAACATGCCTTGCATACATTCATTTTAAGGGTACGTTATGTTCGGGGGAAGACAGTAGCAAGGCTCTCTGGCCAAACAAAGCCCCGACTGTGGGGGTGTCAAGAAATGCATACCATCATGTGATCAGACCCTTCCGTAATAGCCTTCCTTTATGGCCTTCCGCTTCATTTATAGCCTTCCCTTCTTTCATAGCCTTACTCTTCCTTTATAGCTTGCTTTACATTACCCTTCCTTTATGGCCTTACGTTACCCTTCTGTTATTATAATAGCCACACCCTTCCTTTATAGCCTGACCTTCCCGTATAGCCTTATGTTACCCGTCCTTTATAGTGTTACCCTTTCTTTATAGCCTTACATTACCCTTCCTACCCTTCCTTTATAGCCTTACGTTACCCTTCCTTTATAGATTGACGTTACCCTTCCTTTAAGGCCTTACGTTACCCTTCCGTTATAGGCTTATGTTAACCTTTCCTTTATAGCCTTACCTTACCCGTCCTCTATAGCCTTACCTTACCCTTCCTTTATAGCCTTACCTTACCCTTCCTCTATAGCCTTCATCTCCAAGAAAAGGAGTTAACACTTTCCACACAGTCAAGGACACATTTATGCTAGAGTACATTGAGGAGTTTGTATGCCTATTCTTCCGTTTATAGCCCTCATAGGAGCCCGTCTTAGTAAGCAGGACTCTTCCTCCTCTTCCTCCTCCTCCTGCTCCTGCTCCTCCTCCTCCTCATCCTCCTCCTCATCCTCCCTTGTTCAAAAGCCCGACATGCTAATTATGATACCCCGACATGCTAATTACGATTCCGCTGCTCTAACGTACGCATAAATATTCTGCCTTTAAGTTTTAACCAGTTGCTGGGGCTAGTTTTCCAAAGCTATCCCACCCAAAACAGTCACAAAGATATTGGAAAATGGTGATTTAAAACCCGAGCAACCGCCTTCCATCCATTGGGAATACTTTTAGCTCCATTCCAAAGTCATTTGAAATTTAAAAGTATATATTTATATTATCTAGAGGATTTAGCTGTGTTAGCAAACTTAGCATTGACAAATCCTATTTTTAGTCCGTCTCCACTTCCACCTTGAGGAGCATGGGTGTTAAACCAGCAGTACGCACGGCCCTGGAGGGGCTCCACTGCGTGCCACGCCAAGTTTTGCCGAACCGCCAGCGGTGCACTTTTTTGCCTTTTTTGGCTGGCGCTGCCAGCCATTGTGGTCCGGCAGGCCCGAGGCGCGAAATTTGAGAATAGGCGACGAAAAGGCGCGAAATTTGAGAATAGGCGACGAAAAATGTCTACAAGGCTGGGGCTGTGTCCTGGAAGTTTAAGGCCAATTAAAAACAACTGGAGAAGGGTCTGGACGGCAGCTCAAGAGAAGGGTTCTGTGGTTCTGGGCGTGCGAGCAGTTGAGCTGTGTGCACTACACCCGGCATACGGAACCTTCGTTCATCAGTTGAAAATTGTACACACATCTGTGGTGGGCCCTGGTGGCAGATTTGACAAGCTGTACGGTTCTTATAAACTTCAATTCAGAAGGATAATGATATTATTATAAACTTATCATAAAAAATAAAAAATAAACATTTTGCAGAAAATGCTAGGTGCACAGGAGGAAGGCCTGCGCAGATCTCTTTAGGAGCATAGAGCTTTGTATCTGCCTGGCTACTCACTAGTACACAGAAAAGGAGCATGGGGTCTGCGCACACCCCGCCACCCCCCCTGCCCTTTAGAAAAGAGAGAACGTGTGTGTGTAATAGAGAGAGAGAGTTTTAAGCCACCACTGCTTGGACGCTTCCTTTTGACGAAGCGGATCTATTCTGCGTCTCAAAAATCACAAACGGCATGTTTTCTTTTTTTTTGCCTCGTGCTGCGAGCCATTTCTCTCTCTCTCTCTCTCTCTCTCAGTCGCAGTGCGTGCACGGCCGCGAATATTTAGAAAAATGGTTGGGAAAAACAAAAACTACTGCCGGAGGTTTCCTTTTTCCAGAGCGGAATTTCCCCTGCGCACCAATAGCGAACGAAAATCGCAAAATCGCAACTTGTAGACACTCTACAGCAAAACGAACACTGTGTTGTGATGTACAAGGTATGCCACGCAACATCAACGTCACCCCCACCCTTCTTCCTACCCCCCCCCTTCCCCTCCCAAAAAAAAAAAAAAAAAAAAAAAAAAAAAAAGGATCAGCTACAATAGAGAAAAAGTTTACTCTCAAAATCTAGGAAGATTCTCACGCCCGGCCGGTCCTGCCCGGCCGGGCACCCGGGCGTGATGCCCGGGGGGGTCTGACGCCCGGGGTACCCGGGCGTGCAAAAAAAATAAATAAATAATTTTTTTTTTTTTTTATTTTATTTTTTTGGTTTTCTGCGCTCTACCAGAAGACTCCAAATCCGGGCTCATTTNATTTTATTTTTTTGGTTTTCTGCGCTCTACCAGAAGACTCCAAATCCGGGCTCATTTCGTTTTTTGCGAGTTGGCTGTCAAGGGGGGGGGAGGGGGGTATAAATTGGTTTTAAAGGGCCTAAAGSGGTCTAAAGGGGGGTGCCTTTGTGTGATTCTGTTATTTTCTTTCTTATCTCCGATTCTGTCAGGAATCATAATGTGACCCTCAGCCAAAAGTGGTTTGCATTTCAATCCTACACAACATATTTTGTTTTCGGAGTTTTTTTAGTTTTTTTTCTTTTTTCTTTTCGGCACTGAGGCTGCCCGGAACCCTGCCCGGGGGTCATGCCCGGCCGGGCACCCGGGCGTGTACCCAGGCAGAAGTTGGTTGCCCGGGCGCCCGGGAAAACGGCCTAGCTCAAAAGAAAAAAAAAGAAAAAAGAAAAAAAAAAGTTACTCACCAGATAGATGGCAAAGAAAGCTGCAAAGGTTGCCGCAATCAATGGCGTGAAGGCCAAGAAAAAGGATCCTCCCAGCTTCACCAACTCCACAGCACGCGGCGGAAGACCCTGCAAGAAGGAGAGGAGGTGGACAACAGAAAAACGGGATCACTGACATAGACGAAAGCCACCCACCCACATACACACCATGCTTGTCGGGGGTCTGGACCCCCATTCTTATCAGATGTTTAGACCGACAGGCTGCTAGGATTGCAGGGTTGGTGGTGTGAATACCAAGTCGACCACTTTTCTCTCTCAAAAGTTTATCGCTAACTCTGAGCGATGTGGTGAGTGCTTCATTATCCATCAGTCAAATGCATTCTGGCCAGACTGTCGGAGTGTAACCTTCCGATGACCTCGTGAAAGTGCCGACCTCGTGAAAGTGCCAAGTACAGGTGAAGGGAACAGAAACGCAAAGAATGCAGAGTGTTCAAGACTCTAAAACACAGCAGCAGAAGGAGAGAGAGAGAGAGAGAGAGAGAGAGAGAGAGAGAGAGAGAGAGAGAGAGAGAGAGAGAGAGAGAGAGA